TCTGAGATGCTGTCTTTGTCTTGAACTCTTACGAACCGCCCGCTACGGCGCTTGCTATATACGAGGTGTGTTCAAAAAGTAACGAGAATTTTTAAATTTCGCGGGTTTGGAGAGTCCGCTTGTATAAAATTTTTTTTTATTATGTTGGTACACATGCCCCTGAAGTACGATAAAATTTTCAGCAATATTCATTGCTTACTTTTTAAGTGGCAGCCGCTAACGTTAGACGTGTTTTTCGAGCTCGGCGATTTTCGTTTGTGAAAAAAAATGGATCAAAGAATTTGTATTAAATTTTGCGTAAAAAATGAAATAAAGTGTAGTAAAGTTTGTCAAATGTTAACAAAGGCATATAGTGAGTCTGCTATGAGTAAAGCAAGGATTTATGAGTGGTATAAGCGTTTCCAAGATGGCCACGAAAACGTTGAAGATGACGAACGACCCGGACGCCCAAGCACATCAACAACCGATGAAAACGTGAAAAAAGTGAAAGAAATGGTTATGAACGATCGCCGAATCACAATCAGAGAAGTCGCTGATGATGTTGGCATATCAGTTGGCTCATGCCATCAAATTTTTTCGAATGTTTTGGGTATGAAACGTGTGGCAGCAAAATTCGTTCCAAAATTGTTGAATTTCGAACAAAAACAGCGGCGAATGGAAGTTGCTCAGGAGTCGCTAAATGAAGTCAATAACGATGCAGAACTACTGAAACATGTTATGACAGGTGACGAAACATGGGTTTACGGATATGATGTCGAAACTAAGGCTCAATCGTCCCAGTGGAGGCATTCTGGATCGCCAAGACCGAAAAAGGCTCGACAAGTGCGGTCGAATGTGAAGGTTATGCTCACTGTGTTCTTCGATTTTAATGGCATAGTGCATTATGAATTCTTGCCACAAGGTCAAACAATCAATAAGCAGTACTACCTACAAGTTCAACGTCGTTTGCGTGAAGCAATCCGAAAAAAACGCCCGGATTTGTGGCAAAACAATTCATGGCTTTTGCACCACGATAATGCGCCTGCTCACACTTCATTGCTTGTTCGTGAATTTTTGGCCAAAAACGAAACTGTAACGATGCCTCAGCCTCCATATTCGCCAGATATGGCTCCATGTGACTTTTTTCTATTTCCAAAAATAAAGAGAACATTAAAAGGCCGTCGTTTTACAAGCATAGATGACATTAAAAGCGAATCGCTGAAAGAGCTAAAAGCTATTACAAAGATCGAGTTTCAAAAGTGTTTCGAGGATTGGAAAAAGCGTTGGTATAAGTGTATTGTATCCGAAGGGGACTACTTTGAAGGCGACAACATTAATGTAGATGAATAAATAAATATTTTTTTCATAAAACGAAAATTCTCGTTATTTTTTGAACACACCTCGTATATTCTTATAGCTCCCAAGTTTCAGTAATTTTTTCATATTTGCAGTTTTAAGTAGGCCTTGCTTGCTACAATTGCATGCAAAATTATCCGGCCAATCATAGATTTTATAATAAACTGTGGTTGAAATAGTATAAATTGATAACTTTCATATACCATTATAAAGTACATTTATTGTGCTACATTACTACATAGTTAGATAATTAAATATAACAATCAATAACACAGGCCAACAAGGTTTCAGAACCAGAGACCAGACATAGTACACCCGAAGGATTTTGGTGCGCTGAATCCAAATCCGAGCTCAGAATTGCGCCAGCACCTCAGGATTTTGAGATATCCTAACCTAAATGTGCGAAAATCATGTTTTTTTGGCTATATTCGGTACCTTATAACATTGTGAATAAATTTTTTCATGCAAAATTGACAACGGCATCTGAAAGAGCAACTTTTGGCCGACAAAATGTATTACCGATTTTTTTTATGTCTTTTTCCATCAGAGATACCGTCAATTGAAATGTGCCATTTATTAATTGATTTATACTAGAGTATGAAAAATCTTGATTTTTTTTGCAATCTTTAGTAGTAGGAAAAACTTACACTGGCATATAAAGGTCTACCATTGTACTAATTTACGGCGAATCTAGCTGAATTTATTAGATGCACTCTAAAATGGCAGCTATAAATTTAGGGCAGGCTAAGGCAGATGGTTATGACCTAAATGCACTGAAAATCCTATAACTCTAGAACCAGCGACAGATTAACTTAAGTGCGCTATAACCTGCAAGCTCAAAACCATGACAGGATTGCCTAAGTGCGCTATAACATACACTCAACTTAAAACCACGACAAGTTAACCTAAGCGCTCTATGACCTGCGAGAGGTTAAGCTAAGTGCGTTATAATACGCGGCTGGTTGACTCAAGTGCGCTATAACCTGCAAGCTCAAAATCACGGCAAGTTAACCTAAATTCGCTATAACCTGCTACAGGTTAATTTAAGCGCGCTATAATCCACAACAGGTATATTGAGTACGATATAACTTGCAAACCAGAATCCACGACAGTATAACCTATATGCACAGTAACCTTCGAGCTCTAGCCCACTACAGGTGAACTTACGTTCGCTATGATCTGCGAGCGCTAAACTCATAACAGGTTAAAATAATGCAGTGAACAGTGAGGGTCAAGCACAGGACAAATTAATTTAAGTGGACTGTAATCCATAGCATTTCAATCTAAGCTCCAATGTAGTTAGAGAGGTTACACTAAGAAGCTGACAGTCTTTAGAATGTATATTCTTAAACCTATAACCGCCAATTCTGTGATGTTATACTTTCTTTTTGTGAAAACGTTAGCTCTTCATTTCAAACGATCGTTGAAGATATTTACGTTTGTGACTAGTAGGGTTATTATCATCCCTTTTCAATGACCAGCAGTTGTCGGCCATTATTTTTTCATCCCACCTTCCTTGGTAGTGTTGTTCCTTTTGTTTAAAGTCTTGGTGAAATCGTTCACCCATCTCCTCACTATATGCTCCAAGATTTTCTGCGAAATAGTCCAAATTAGAATTTTTCGGAAATTCTGTAACATGTTGGACACAATAGTTTCAAACTGCGGATCTCGATTATTGCCTAAAAATTTTTCTGTAACATATTTGAAGCTCAACCAAGCATTCTTTTCAACGAGAGTTATGGTTTCGATAAATGTATCATCTTTCATGAGTTTTCGTATATCAGGCCCAACGAAAATGCCTTCCTTAATTTTCGCATCACTCAATTTCGGAAATGTGGCTTTCAAATGATTGAAACATTTACCTTCTTTATTCAAGGCTTTCACAAACTGTTTCATTAAACCTAATTTGATGTGAAGTGGTGGCAGTAATACTCTTTCTCTATCAACAAGACCTACGTAGGCGACATTATGAGTACCTAATTTCCATTCTGATCTTGTGGGACATTTTTTTGTTACCCAATGCTTATCTCTTGCAAGGCTATCCCAAAGGCAGAGGAAACACGGAAATTTGGTATTTCCCGACTGCAAGACAACTATAAGATTTATCATCTTAAGGGGGGAGCCTGCTTTAGAGGCTTCAAAAAATCGATTTTTTTTGCATAAATGTCTTTCTAAACTATCCAAGAATGTGTCCCTAAAATTTTAGAAGCATCCTCGAAATATTTTCGGAGATATAAAAGAAATAGTGAGTAAGCGTCGAGCAGGTATACGAGCGGCCGGGTCGCTCGGAGCGCGCGCGCTCCGCCCCTTGATCTATTGTACGTATTATAATACAAAGGAATCACGATCTTTCGAGACACTATAGATCCTTCGTAGGTCTTGGTGGAGCTATGGAAGGGATAAAAGTGTATATTATAAGTAGTATACATGAGCTGGCAGAGTCGGCTTGAGCCAAGCTGTATTAGCATTCGAGTTTAGTTTTGTTTAGGTACGTGAACATCTTGAAATCATGCAGAGCTATCTGAAAGGTAGTAAATATTCAACTGAACGCACTGGTAAGCCACGGAAGCGCAAATTCCATGGCAATCAGTTCGTAAATATTTCGACATCTGACTATGAAGAAGCTAATACGAGCCGTAGTGAAAATAAATTGGCTTCAGCAACTACGGACGATGTCATAATTCATCCGTCACATTGCTATCGAATAATTGAGTTTGTCTCTGTATTTTTAGCAATTTCCGAAATAGTTATTTGCAATTCGTGTAAGCAGCGAATAACTTTTGCCGAAAGCGGCCATCGAGGTCTCGGATTCAAAATCATTTTAGCGTGCAAATGCGGTAAACGAGAAATTCAATCTGGACCATTGATCAACACATCAACACTGGCTACGAAATCAATAGAAGAATTGTGCTCGTCATGAAGCTTTTGGGTGTCGCACGAGAAGGCATTAACATTTTTTGTGGTCTTATGGACATATCACTAGACTTAGCTAAATCGACGTATGATCAAATCGTGCAGCACCTGTATTCAGCGTCGAAAAAAATGTTCGACAGCGCCTGCAAAAAAGCCGTCGCAGAGGAAAAAGAACTTAACGTTAAAAATGCAAAACCAGCTGACCATTTGAAAGTTTCGGGCGATAGATTTTGGAAAAAAAGTGGCTTTACTTCATTATACGGTGTAACTACACTTATCGAGTACTACAGTGGCAAAGTGATCGATCTCATCGTTAAAAGTGGATATTGTCATACTTGTGCTCTCAAGAAGAATACATTGGGCGACAAAGAGTTTGAAGAATGGTATCAAAACCATAAGGAAAATTGTTCTTCGAATCACGCCGGCTCGTCCGGAAAAATGGAAGTTGATTCGATAATGACAATGTTCTTGAGATTCATCAAGAAATTCGGAGTAAAGTACAGTAATTACATTGGTGACGGCGACTCCAAAACATTTCTTGGCATTCTGAACAGTAATCCATACGGCCCGGAGCTCACAGTGACAAAAAACGAGTGCGTGGGACATGTCCAAAAGCGCATGGGTACTCGTCTCCGAAACAAAAAAAACAAGAAAAGCTCGGTGGAAAGAAGCGGCTCACCGAGACTTTAATAAAAAAATTAACCATTTACTACGGTCTAGCCATTCGAAGAAACTTGAATTCTGTGGAAGACATGAAAAACGCTATAATGGCGACACTCGATCACTATTGCTCGACGGATGAATTACCTCGCCACGACCATTGCCCAGAAGGCGCCGACAGTTGGTGTGAGTGGCGCAAAGCCGAGGCAGCAAATAAACTGGCTGATTTTCAACATTCGCCACGTGTCATCGACGAAGAGGTTGAGAAGCACATTCGTCCTGTGTACGAGGAGTTATCTAACGACGATCTGCTAACGAGATGCTTGGGTGGACACACACAAAATGCGAACGAGTCGTTCAATTCCACTGTGTGGCGCATGATACCTAAACACCTTCATTCAGGCATTAAAATTGTCAAGATTGCTACCTACATCGCTGGAGGAATGTTCAATGAAGGCTACAGTGCTGTATTACAAACAATGCAGATATTAGACTTGAAAATTGGACAGCAATGCATGAATTTCTCTCGGCAAGCCGACCAGAAGCGCATCGCCCGAGAAAACAGACGGAATCTACTCGCGAGCAAAGAGGCCAGAACAGCTCGTAGACTCGAAAATCTCGGCGAAAATCAGTTTTACGAAGAGTCTGAAGAACAAATGTATGGACCAGGAATCGCCGATTAGCAAAGTTACGTGGTAAGTTCAATAAAATTACGTTTTTTTATATACGAAAACTTTGACGCGCGATTTCTCGGTTTTGCATTTTTACGATTTTTCCTAATTGGCGGGAAAGATAGGGAAAAAACTAAACGTCCTATCGAAACGAGATAAAGTGGGTTTTATTTGGAATTGAATTTTATTCAAGCTTAACCTAAAAAAACTTAAGAAAGTTAAGATTAACTAACTTTTTAAACAATCTAAAGTGAATTTTTTTTTCAATAAAAATAAATTTTTTGTTCATTTAGCGATAAATTGTTCAATTTTCACTTTTTTTTTTAATTTTCTTGGTTTACCTAGAAACTACACTATTGGAGAATGGAAATTTTATCTGATTTTTTGTTTCAGATGAAAATTGCGATCTGCATTTTTCCCGCCGCACGACAACTACAGAGTGAAGGCGCCTCGGCCGAATGCTTCTACGAGCCACAATATGATCTGTATTTTAATAAAAAATTTAAGAAGACTCTTGAAACAAGTTATAATAAACCCTGAATGTTTCATTCCAATCGGATATTTCATTCCTCCTCCAAAAAATTCTCGAAAAAATCGTTTTGTTGACGCCTCTAAAGCAGGCTCCCCCCTTAAAGTCACCACAAACAAGCCAATTGTGAGTCTTGTAATTTATTTTTTCCAGTAGAAATTGAAAACTATTGTATGATTCTTTTAGTGCAGTTGAGTGACCTACAGGAAGTACCGCATACTTATTTCCGTTGTATAGTAACACAGCTTTGAGACTTTGTGTGAAAGAATCAATGAAGAGACGCCAATTTTCTGGCTTGTACAAATCTTGGATATACAAGTTAACCAATTCGACGTTATTACAGTACACCATCACATCCTCCATTGTAAAGTACTTTATAAACGCCTCTTCTCGGTTTCTGTAAATTGACACTTTTGTTCCAGGTAATAATAGCTTCCTTTCTTGGAGTCTTGAAGCATAGAGTTCAGCTTTATCCTTTGGAAGATTGAGATCTCGAATAAAATCATCTAACGAACTTTGGTCAAAAAGCTTAGGTCTCTCGTCATCAGAACTATCTTCAAAAGAGACATCTTCAGTTGTATCAATATCTATCGGTTCAACTTTTGCCGAACCAACTTCTTTTCCGGGTTTACTTACTTTTGCTACTTTGGCTGGTATTACACTCGCTACCGCAAGGTAGATGATTTTATTTCAATTTTGTTTATTGAAACCCGTTATATTACATAAGCAGAAGTAACAATCAGTTTCATGGTCCTTGGGCTCACGCCAGATGGTCGGTTCAATAACAGTCATATTGCTGCTATTATCATCCCACTTCAACATAGCAAGTCTGCAAGAATTACAAATTGAAGATGGTAGCCATGTCTTATCTAAATTGTCGATCGGAACCTTATAACATTTCATATATAGAGTTTTGATTGAATCATTAATCGATCGTCGATAAGAAGTTATTTCAAACTTCCCACAAACATAATAAAATGTATCAATTTTTCTTGCACAAGGGTTTCTGGAACTCATTTTTCTTATAATAAATAACAAAGAGGATAAAAAATGTTCTTATGATAAATATTCTTATAATAAATAAAGTAGAAGAAAATAAGATAATAGCATTTACAGGAAATTTAACCGTTAGTCCGCCCCTCAAACGTGATCTCTAACACGGAAAGATTAGCATGTCACGAAATCAGTTATCTCAGCTTTCACCTATCTTAGCTTCAGCATACAATCATACATTTCAAGTTACGTAATATTCTACATCACCTATTTACAGAATTTCAAAAACAAATGAAAGATTTCACGGTTTTTGATTCCGCTTATCGTATCGGATATCAGATTTACAAAATGTGTTTCATTTAAGCCACTTGTTTAAACAAATTTCTGAAAATTGAATATTTTTGCAAGTTGCACCTCATTTCCATGGTTTTAGGGGTCACTGATTACGAGTTTAATGTCAGATTTATGAATTTAGATTTATTTAAACAATTTATTTAAATAAATGTTGCAAGACTCAATGTTTTTGCAAGTTACACGTACTTTTGCTGATTTTTGAGGTCTCTGGTTATGAATCTGATATCAGATTTGCAAAATGTATTTTATTTAAAAAATTTCTTTAAACAAATTCCTGTATAATAGAATATTTTTGCAAGCTGCACCACATTTCCATGGTTTTGGGGGTTACTAGTCACAAGTTTGATGTCAGATTTGTACATTTAAATTTATTTAAACAAATTATTTAAATTTTTAATTCTAATATTTGTCTGTCCGTCACAGGCCGACAAACTTCAGAATCAAAAACTATACATAACGCACCCGAAGAATTTCTATGCGCTAAATCCAAATCCCAGCTTAGAATTGCGCCAGCACGTCAGTATTCCGAGATATTTATAGAAGGCTATAATCTGCGTGGCCATAACCCTAAATCCGTTAACCCAAAAACCCCCGACCTCTTAACCTTTAACTGCCCCCTTAACCTAAAATCCGTTAACCCTGTAGCCCTGAAACCTGTGATGTTATAACCCTCGATGCCGTTACGCAAATCCCTTAATGCCTGAGCCCAGTAATTTGCGCCACAAGGAATCTAGGGCTATTGTATCGCAGGTTACAGGATTCCGAGTGAAGAAATTCGGGGTTAAGTTGGCCGGTTTTATTGCCGCGCTTGTTATAACCTTCATGGGTTAAAATATTTGGGGTTAAGGGGACGGGGATTATTGCATCGAAGGTCACAGGGCTCGGAGGTTAAGGGATTTAGGGTTAAGTGGGCAAGGTTTATTGCCCAGCAGGTTACAATGCTCCAAGATCAGGGATTTGAGTTATAATAGTCGAAATTCATTGCGTTGCCGTATAAACCAATTGATAAGTAGTACATTTCAATTGACGATAAAAGAAGACATAAACTAAAGATTGTTAGTGCTTTTGTACGATAAGAATTACTTTTTAAATGCCGTTGTCAATTTTGCACGAAAAAAATTATTCGCAATGTTATAATGTACCGTATATAGCCAAAAAAACTTGATTTTCGCACTTTCAGGTTAGGATATCTCGAAATTCTGACGTACTAGCGCAATTCTGAGCTCGGATTTGGATTCAGCGCACCAAAATCCTTCGGGTGTACTATGTCTGGTCACTCGTTCTGGTGTGCCGCAGTATAAACAAATTCATAGGTGTTAAATTTCAAACGACGATATCTACATTACCAAAAGACATAAAAACAAAAATCGGTAGTGCATTTTGTAGGCCAAGAGTTGCTCTTTCAGATGCCGTTGTCAGTTATGCATGAAAAAATTTATTCACAATGTTATAAGGTACCAAATATAGCCAGAAAAAACATGATTTTCGCACATTTAGGTTAGGATATCTCAAAATCCTGACGTGCTGGCGCAATTCTGAGCTCGGGTTTGGATTCAGCACACCAAAATCCTTCGGGTGTACTATGTCTGGTCTCTAGTTCTGAACCTTTGTCAAATTTTGTTGGCCTGTGTAATTCTTTATAACAAAAAAAATTTTTTTGATACTCCATAATAATCCGGCCAAAATTTATAATAGTATTTACTAATCGGGAATAATGTGTTTCGCTCCGTGTGATATATAAACATTGAGTGCGCTATTTATTCTGTATTATCCGATCAGTTATTATTCGCCAAGATGCCGAAACGGACGTCATTGGACAAACGTGAATTGGTTTTAAAACTACACAATAAAGATAGAGATATAGGAAAATCAACAGTTGATGATATACTCAAAAACTTAAGACTACTGGTGCTGTAGAAGATAGGAAAACGGCTGAGCGTATTGATAAAGTGATAAAAAGAAAGGCTATCTCAGATGTGAAGAAAAATGCTGCTATTATTGCACGTGAATTACGTGAAGAAAATGTAGCTGACATTAGTCAAAGTACCATGTCTCAAAGACGAAACAAAGTAGGATATTTTGGACGTGTTGGTGTTAAGAAACCATTGATCAGTAAGAAAAATAAGAAGGCCAGACTAGAATTTGCTACAGAACATCGGAGCTGGACTGTTGAGGACTGGAAAAAAGTGCTGTTTTCGGATGAAACTAAAATCAAAATATTTGGAAACGATGGGAGAAAATATGATTGACGACGTAAAGGTACCAGAAATGATTCACGATATCAAACACAAACTGTGATACACGGTAATGGAAACATCATGCTATGGGGAGCTTTCTCTTAGAAAGGCGTTGGTCTAATTTTCAAAATTGACGACATTATGGACTCTACCAAGTATAGGGACATTATATTAGATGTAATGCTGCCTTATGCACGTCAAAATATGCCAAGAGCATGGATCTTTCAGCAGAATAATGATCCAAAACATCGATCACAGCTCCTTCAACAACCTTTTTGCCGACATGTACAGAATTTGAGATTCTTTAACCTGTTAACCAAGCGGGACGTATAAATACGTCAAAAGTAAACAATATCGGGTACGGGTAGGACTTATTAATACGTCCTCGATATTTATATTGCACCCTGGAACGGGCGGAACGTATATTTTACTACTACTATGGTAATACGTCATTCATACACGTCTTAGTGGAAAAGGACGCGCCCGTTATATGTTGCGTAATTAGAAAGGGATTTCCCCGGTTAACAGGTTAAGAGCTCGAGTTTGAAACTTTATAATGAAAGTTAAAAGCCGTCGTAAGACGTAACACTTTAGGGCCCAAGATATTGCGATTAATATATATTTATCGCAATCTCCGGTTGTGAGAAAAGCGGATATGTAAAAGGTCTTTGTTGTTCCTAGTGTTCAAGCTCTTAAATATTACAATTCAGCGAGTGTTTAGTTTGTTTTATTTGGATTTTGTTTCGCTTTGTAGACATATTTTCAGTACATAAGACGCGTGTAAGGCCAGTTTTATGCAGTTTGCTTCTATCCTCTGTAAGTGTATAAAAAAACGATATTAGCGTGAGTATTATGTATATAGTTATGTATATATTATGTATATATGTGTATGAATTTAA